AAGGCCAGGGGAAACAATTACAATTCAGTCTGATTTTCTCTAAAAAAAAAACACAACAAAACAAACCCACCCCCCCAGTTTGAAAAGTCCATGAAAACAGTCCATTTTGATTTAAAAGCTGCTAAAGGATAAATATGGTTTTGAAATTAGTCTTTTTAAATTTGTATTTCATTTTCAGTTTTAGCTTTGGTGCCAGTCCTCCTCTACCTGCTAGTTAAGACTCCCGCACTCAGTTATCTTCTTACTAAATCACTTTTGTTTCCAATACAAGAAACCTTAAAACACAGATGTTCTGCTGATGAGAAGCCAATGGTACAAAGCGTCTCTAGTTCCTTCCTCTCATGGAGTTCCGAGGCATTGCTGGCGTTAAGGAATCTACCACCAAAGCCAAGGCCAAAGCTAAAGGACTGGGCATCTTCTCAGTTAATATGTATGTGGGAATATTCTCTACAGAGGAGAACGCGCAATCTTGTACCTGCATAAAACGCTAATTATCTGCTTGGTGTCCTTTGGTGGTGGTGGGCGGTGGAAATCACACCTGGATATTTTCAAAGTTATCAAGCCCCTGGAAAATGTTGATATTGGGACGTTTAACGTCTCAGTTAAGCGATACACTCTGGTACCAACACTTCACAGGCAGAGTCTGTCAAGAAGCTCCGGGTTGGATGGAAGGCTGTGTCGGAAAGAGGGACGCTGGTGGCAGGCTGCAGAGCAGAGCTCAAAGGTAGAGTCTGACAAACTGGATTAACTACGGATCACATTCATTGTCCGTCCTGGCATGACTTGACAGGATTAAACTCCTGAATAAAACATATTTGCCATCTGGACAGCTCTAACAACGGTGCCCTCAAAACTCAGGCACATTCTCAAACACGGACTAACCAGAGCATGTCAGCTTAGGGGTTTCATGGCATTTTCTGCAGAGCTCACGGCCCAAGAGCCAAGACTGTGTTCCTCTCCCTGATCCCTAGCATGTAGGCTGGCAGAATAAATGGAAAACAGAAACTAGTTTACCGAAACGAGGCAAATTAGTTTTGGAGATCAATGACTAAGATATAAGGAGTATTTCACTTACGTATTTAGGCAGAATCCCAGCTACTGCGCTTTCACCTAATATGCCTCAGTTAATTTCAAACATCACAACGCAAAAAAGCACTGCAAGGTTTAAATCGGATTAAAAAACCACCATAAACATACAAGCTTTCATTTCTTTTAACACTCATTTATGGTATGAGATAAGGTAAGGAGGACAGGAAAGACGATCAGTTTAGACTCAGAACATTACCCTAGGGAAGACAGCAAGGTTTAGGGGATAACACAGAAAGCACAAACTTTTGGTAGCAAAAACGGAGGAAAAGCCCCTTTGCCCTTCTCTCGCTGTTCCCCTTTACTGGGGCAGAACGTCTCGAGCCCTCATCGCAGCAAGGCTCCATCTCAGTAAGTGCCATCACCAGATTCAGTAACAGTTCAGCGCTGGCTTGTGGCATCTCTCCACCTCCCCCAGTTTCAAGGCAATTGCTACAGAAGTCATGCATGCAAAGCAGGGACAGAGAAAACACTGTCTGTTGGGCTGTCGTTTCACATATAAATCTCAACAACATTGCAAAATTCAAACTGACAGTCTTTGTTTCAGCAGAGCAGAATTGGTACGATGAAATGCACTCCAGATGCTCAGTGGCATTTCTCAGTATGAATCTATTCCTAACTCGAGGCTTGCTAAGAAAATAAATACCTGTAACTGAACACTGTGGAGGGGGGGGGGGAACCAAACAACAAAACACCACCACAAAAAAAAACCCACATTAGATTTTGCCAAGAGCTGGACTAAGCTTTCAGGGTCTTCAAAGCGGTAGCAAAGCAATACCCTCCCACAGATCTACATGCAAGTGTCCCAGCAGCTTTGGAGCTGGCTCTGCAGGGCCTAGGGAAGGCAGGGCTGGAAGCACAACTGTGTCAGCGTAAGCTCCCTCTGGGATTTCGTGTTTGCTGTGGAAGCAAAAGCAACTTGACCAACACAGACCTCTGGGTCTGCCTGGCGTCGGCAGGGTGGAGAGGGAACGCAGAGAAGCCCTTCACCAGAGAACTGCAGCCCCAAAAGGCTGAACAAACCCTGTGACCAACAAATAAACCCTTTCTGCGTCTGGGGTGGCACCAGTGACCTCTGCTATCTCAGACTCAGGCTGAGTGTCAG